TCCGCATGGCGCCGCCGCTTCACTTAGGCCCCTGGGGAGCTCCAACTGGAGCGCAACTGCGAGGGTCCGCATGGCGGCGACGCCTCATTTCAGTCTACCCCTCACACGTTTCGCCCATGGCGAGCCCCAACTGAAGGCCCACACGCTAGGGTCAGCATGGGACCACCGCCTCACTTCGGCACACCCCTCACATGTTTCGTGGCCCCATAAGGGGGCTCCAACTGAAGCCCAACCATCAAGATCCTCATGACGCCGCCGCCTCGTTTCGGCACACCCCTCACACGTTTCGTGGCCCCAGATGGGTGCCTCAACGAAAGCTTCACCTGCGCTGCCCGCATGGCGTGCCCGCTCCCAATTCGGCACGCCCCTCGCGCATTTCGTGGCCCCACGTGCGGGCGGCAGTCCCGCACGCGCGAGTCCCAGCGCCACCTGCATGCCAGCATGTGCGCACCGAAGCCATGGGCTCGCCTCGATCGCCCCGACGACGACCCGCTGGCCCTCACGGTGCTGGACAGGACGGTCGGGCGAGCACAGTCGCCTGGGCCAGGAGCGGACGCAGGCGTGGCCAATCAGGCTGGCGAGACCGCCCATTGGGCAGGGTGCCCACCGTGCCCCGGGCAGCGGCGCGGCCCGAGGCTGCAGCGGGGGTGCTGCGAGCGCCAGCCCCGATGGCGAGCCGAAGGTGGCGTGCCTGCTGCGGGCTGCGCGCGGCGGACGAGGCGACGGGCCCGCGCAGCCGCCGAGCCCTGCTCCAGGGGAGGCGGACTCCACTCCACCCGCGGCCGCGGCTCGCCCAGGCGCTGGCTGATGCGCGCGGAGGGACGCCAGCGTCGCGTGCGGGAGTGCTGTGGCTGCGTGCGCCCAGCGCCGCCACGCGGGGCCAGCAGGCGCTTGCCCTGGGCGCTCGGAGCGGCTGGACAGAGCAGAGGCCGCGCGCCAGCGGCGGGCTGTGCGCATCAGGAGCGGGCTGCACCCGGAGACGCGGCAGCCGCTGTCTGGTGGCTGAGCCTGAGCATGTGGGTCGGCACTCGATGAGTGTGAAGCGCGCGGCTGCGGGGGCAGCCATGCGGGGCCGTATGGGCGAGCGCAACTCGAGCTCGCCTCTGTATGGAGACCGAAACAAAAGAGCGCCCCCAAAGCGTCCCAAGATGGCTCCAAGACACGATTTCCCAAGCTCCAGATATGCAGTGCCAATTCAGGTTCCCCCTTGTTTCATAGATGGCCTCAAGGATGGCTCCGCGAGGGTATGAACAGCCCCCAGGATGACCCCTAAGAGGGCTTCAAATGCTCTCGGAAAGGACCCCAAAAGAAGAAGCATCCATTACCATTGCTGGCCGCTCTGTTTCGCAATGTGCTTCCGTGCTCTTCTTCTCCCGATATCTCAAACTCAATCAGTACCGCACCAGGAGATCGTATCGGATCTGAACGTGCGTCGGATCGGGCTGCATCGGCGAGGGGTCGACATCGAATCGGATTGGCTGCGCCAGGATGTACAATGCGCTTTGAAAACATCAGGCCTTACCGGATCGCTGGACCATCGAACATCGACATCAAATCTGATCGAGTCTGGCGAACTCGAAATCGAATCGGATTGGGTCCTGCAATATCCTGGTTCCAAAGGCGCTGAACTCTGCGGAATTTATCGAGACGTAACGGTCCGTGAGGGTCCTGTGGCTGGAGCAGGACAGGTCGCGGGAGAGGAGGAGGAGGAGGAGGAGGAGGAGAAGGAGGACGAGGAGGAGGAAGAGGAGGAGAAGGAGGAGGAGGCGGAGGAGCAGAAGGAGGAGGAGGACGAGGAGAAGGAGGAGGAGGAGGACGAGGAGGAGGAGGACGAAGAGGTGGAGGAGGAGGAGCGGAGCGTCCGGAGGGGCCTCGCTCTATGATCTCCGCGATGTGCTTCAGCGCGGGGCCGTACTGCTTCTGGCTGTAGTAGCACAGCGCGATGTTGTAGGCCAGGTCCGGCCTCCGCGGGGGCCCCGGGCCGGTGGCTCCGCCCGTCGTCGTGGCCGTCGCCGCCGCCGCCGTCGCCGCCGCAGTCGCAGTCGTATAGGTCGTCATCGTCGTCGCCGCCGCCGCCGCCCTCGTCGCCGTCGGAGGAGGAGTTGGGGAGCGGGGGGAAGAAACATCCAAATACTGCTACGGATAGTACTGGTACGCTCACGAACTAGTCGACGACTGATACTACCCATAATGTGAGGCGAGCCGTGGGACTACACATGATACTACACAAGAATAAGAGCGCTAATCATGCAACAACAACACTACTACGAAGAACACTAGCACGATACCTACGGCTAATTCGACTAATACTAATAATACTACGAATTGGACGAACCATATCAATACTACTCATACGGCTAACCAACATAACGATAATAAGACTCATCATCAATACTCATACTATTCATCCGCATGACCATAAAAGTCGTGCTACGAACACTACTACTAATACTCCTACTAATCGTACTATAATACATACTACAGCCTGTACTACCACGACGACGACTACTACTTCTACTACTAGCACTACCACTACCAGTACTACTACTATTACAACAACAACAGCTACTACTAGTAGTACTATTACTGCTGCTACCACTACTACGACTACGACGATTACTACTACTAGTACTACTACTACCACCACTACTACTACTATGACTACTACTACTACTACTACTACTACTACTACTGCTACTACTACTACTACTACTACTACTACTACTACTACTACTACTACTACTACTACTACTACTACTACTACTACTACTACTACTACTACTACTACTACTACTACTACTACTACTACTACTACTACTACTACTACTACTACTACTACTACTACTACTACTACTACTACTACTACTACTACTACTACTACTACTACTACTACTACTACTACTACTACTACTGCTACGACTAGTACTACTAGTACTACTAGTACTACTAGTACTAGTACTACTAGTACTGTACTCGTACTAGTACTGGTACTGGTACTGGTACTGGTACTGTACTGGTACTAGTAACTCGTACTCGTACTCGTACTCGTACTACTACTACGACTACGACTACGACTACTACTACGACTACGACTACTACGACTACGACTACTACTACTACTACTACTACTACTACTACTACGGCTACGACTACTACTACGACTACTACGACTACTACGACTACTACGACTACTACGACTACTACGACTACTACGATTACTACGACTACTACTACTACTACGACTACTACTACGACTACTACTACTACTACTACTACTACTACTACTACTACTACTACTACTACTACTACTACTACTACTACTGCTACTGGTACTAATAATGATGTTGTTACGAGTGCCACTCGTATCCGTAAAACAAACTTATGTCACTCAACTATGACAACATTCAGACTACACATCGTATTATTACTGATAACCGCGCGAATGCTACGACTGTGACTCATAGTAATACGAAGTTAACGCGAATGATATTAATCATGCTCTCGCACAGACGAATCATAATAACACTAAAAACGGAACAGGGGGAGGAGAAGGGGAGACGAGGGAAAGGGGAGGGGGAGGCCGGGGGGATGGGGGCTTGGATGTCCCTGGTGGCCCAATGGGGAGGCATCCCCTACCCCCCCTGCCCCCCCCTCGCCTCATAGGTGTGCCCGCGCGAGCTGTGGGAAGGCCCACTGCCGAGGGGAGGAGGGAGGGGGATGAGGGAGCGATGTAGGGATTGAGGATTGAGGGGAGGAGGAGGCGGATGAGGAGGAGTAGGAGGGGGAGGAGCAGGAGGGGGAGGGGGAGGGGGAGGGGGAGGAGGAGGAGGAGGAGGAGGAGGAGGAGGAGGAGGAGGAGGAGGAGGAGGAGGAGAGGAGGAGAAGCAGGAGGAGGAGGGGGAGGAGCAGGAGGAGGAGGAGGGAGGAGGAGGAGGAGGAGGAGGAGGAGGAGGAGGAGGAGGATAAGGAAGAGGAGGAGGCGGAGGAGGATTATGAAGAGGAGGAAGAGAAAGAGGAGGAGGAGGAAGAAGAGGAATAAGAACATGAGGAAGAAGAGGGGGAGAGGGGGATTCTCCGCGAGCCGTGAGTCAGGACCACAGTATCGGTCAGCCAGGGGGGGGGCGAAAGACGAAGGATGAGCAGCGACGGAAGGGAAAAGAAACCAAAATTCTTCCTAGAAACGAATTCCTCCCAAACTGGTGTCTGGCGACCGATGTCTGGTGTGGTGTCCGGCATCTGCTGTCCGATGTCTGGTGTGGTGTCGGGTGTCGGGCGTCCGGTGTGCGGTGTCCGATGACCGGTGTCCGGTGTCCACTGTCCGGTGTCCAGAATCAAATGTCCGGTGTCCAATGTCCGGTGTCTGGTCTGGTGTCCAATGTCCGGTGTCCGGTGTCCGGTCTCTGGTGTCCGGTGTCCACTGTCGGGTGTCCGGTGTCCGGTGTCTGGTGTCCGGTGTCCGATATCTGGTGGCCTGTGTCCGGTGTCCGGTGTCCGGTGTCTGGTGTCCGGTGTCCTGTGTCTGGTGCCCGCCGGTGTCCGGTGTCCAGTGTCCGGTGTCGGGTGTCCGGTGTCCGGTGTCCTGTGTCCGGTGTCTGGTGTCGGGTGTCCGGCGCGCGAGAATCGCTCGATAGTGGGGAGCACTATGGGGTGGGAGGAGTGCAAGGCAGAGGAGGACGAGGACGAGGAGGGACATATGACGATGGGAGGAGGAAAAGGTGTGCAGTGCAAACCCATATGGTTTTCCTTCGGGTGAGATCATGGAAGGTTCTAGCAAGCACGAGGGGGCCCACTCTGGCGAACTGTAGCGCACCAGAGCCTGTCGGGAGCCATCCAGAGCATATACCTTCCCCTCGTCCTCACCTTCCACGTACTCATCCTCCTCGCCTTCGTCGTCCCCCCCTAATCCCTTCTCGTACCTCCTTCGTCGCCTCCTCCTCATCATCCTCCTTGAGGCGGAAGAGAAAAAAACCGTGCGCACTGCGAGCGGCTAGGCCCGCGGCTGATAACCAGCGGAATTCATGGCGTCTTGGAACTGCTTCATGGCGTCGGGGTACCGCTTCTCCTGTGGTCCGAAGGGCCGGGGGCTACCCTGGAGGCATCCCTCCTCCTCCTCCTCCTCCTCCTCCTCCTCCTCCTCCCCTGTCCTCCACCCCACTCCCTTTCCCACTACTCTCTCTCTCTGCCTGTACACGTCCTTCCCTCTCCATCTGCGTTTACCCTCTGCTGCCCATCCCTCCCCACGTTCCCATCTCTCTCTGTCTCTCATTCTTTCTTTCTTTCTTTCTTTCGTTCTCTCTCTCTCTCTCTCTACATATACATGCGTCGATGTTATATACGTATTGCGCTCTGACTCTTCCTTCTGCTATCCAGATAAATCTGTTCTGGTTCCGAATAAAGGTTGCATGCTATAATGTGTACACTACGAGTTTCTGAGTAAGCGTCGGGGGGGCGTCACATCCGCCGACAGCCCCGCATCGACCCTCGTCGCGGGCAGCCACCGTGCGCCGAAGGCGCTCCGACCCCCGTCGCGGCGCGACGACGAGGCGAGGTTGACCCCCTGTCGGGGGGTTCCCCCCCGCGCTTATCAAGACACCCAGAGTATATATATATATATATATATATATATGTACACACATGTTTATATACACATATGTGTGTGTGTATGTATGTATGTATGTATGTATGTATGTATGTATGTATGTATGTATGTATGCATTTTTGTATGTATGTATGTATGTATGTATGTATGTATGCATGTATGTATATATATATATATATACACATGTAGATCTTACGCACTCTCTGCCACTGTCTCTATGCATTGCATCTCTTTCTCTCTTTCCCTCTCCCTCTTTCCCTCTTGCTCTCTCTCTCTCTCTCTCTCATTTTTGTCGTTCTCTCTCTCTCTCTCTGTTTCCCTCGCCGTCGCGCGCAAGGGGGGCGCGGTCGTGGCCAAGACACGCCGTGGCCCTGGACGCCGAGGCTCCCGCCTCCCCGTGGGGCGACTGCGTCGGGGAAGGCGAAGCCGGAGGCACAGAACCGGGTCACCCGAGGGGAACTGTTTGGTTCGGCGAAGCCTGCTGGCATGAAGCCGACGCCCCGACGCTCGCCCTGCCCCCCGGCGGGAATTCGTTCAGGGGGTCTGTCCTCCGAGCCGATCCCCGAGGACACCGCCAGAGGTCCAGGCTGGCCAGCACCCCGGGCCTGGCATGCAGGACGCGGGTCCTGCAGGAAAGGGGTCCCGGAGCAGGGCAGTCCACGGGCTGCCGGGCAGGAGAAGAGACTCGAGATGCAACGCTGGTTCTCGGGAGGGCCCCCCAGGGGCCCTACCCTTCACGGCGACGAGCCGCGTCCAGCCGCGGCGGCGAAAGGCCCCAGAAGCGCACCCCAAACGCCCGAAACGAAAACGTCCGCGTCGATCGACATTACAGGCAAGGGGGCAGGAGATCTCCCAAAACGTCCGTGGTCCTCGGAACACTGCCCGCGGAAGGGGGCGGGCCTCCGCCCGAATCGTGCAGAACCTCCAAATGCTCGGACTTCGATTCTTGATTTAAGTCGGGCCTGTCCCCCTACAGGGGGATTTTCGATGAAAAATAAAAAATACCCCACAAATAATCAAAACATCATCAAAAAATAGTCGGGGGACTATTTGTTGAATATTTTTTGATCTTTTTTGGGTATTTTTTGGGTATTTTTGAGTTTTCGTCGAAAATCCCCCTGTAGGGGGACACGCCCGACTTAATTCTTGATGTCGAGGATGTCTCCTCGAAAAAGGCGGGCCCTGGACCTGTCCAAGGGGGCGCGTTCTGACAAGACCCGCGAAGCGGATCCGGCCGGGGCGACGGGGGCGCCGCAGGCGGCGCAAAGCAAAGGCAACTTTGGAGAACCGACAGGGCAGTTTTTGATACATGGGATTTTCAAAGATATTGGATTTTAATACATGGGTAATTTACGAATCAATTTATACACGAACTCATCCTTGTTTTTAATACAAAATCCCTGCATTTTAATACATGATCAGCACGCGGAGCATGTGTAAAAAACGGCACTGTAGACTCGATCGTTGTCGTTTGTCGGTGGCGACTGCTTCAACTGGGTCCCCAAAGCCCCCCCGGAATCCATCCTGAGGGGTTGCGCGTCCTGCGCCGACCCCCCCGACGGCACGAGGCGGGCCCCCAAGACCCAGAATCCAAGAGACAACCTCCGTCGCCAGTCTTTGGCGGTGGCGCCGCCGCTTCGTCGTCATCGTCGTCGGCGTGGCAGCCGCCGTAGGCGTCGCCGCTGGCGGCGGCGTCGTTCGCGTCTGCGCGCGCGCGCGTAACCCGCGGGCCTTCCAGAGGAGGGCGCCCTCGAAAACCTGCCGCTCGCCCGCGTCGGGACTGCACTGGTCCAAGAAGCTCTTGGCAAGCTGCACCTCGCGTCGGGCTCCGCTTCGCTGACCCCTTCGGAAAAAAAGGCTGGCTTCCCAGCCGATGGGGAGGGGGCTCCACGATCTTGGACGCCCGACATGGGCGCGGACAAAAATTGGTACGGTACGATTCCCAACAGCAGATGTTGTCCCAAACCGACGGCGGCCGGTGTTGGGCAGGCGGCCTTCTGTCTCATATGGACAACGTCCGCGGCGGCGCGGACAGCGAGTCGTGTTCAAAATGATCAGGAACCGCTGTTGGGTTTCGTATCCATTATGTTTTTGGTCAGGTGATCAAGACAAGTTACAAGATAACCTGGCGCACGTGATGTCGGAAGTTGGGGGGTGAGATCGAAGTGGAATGGAGAGCCCCCCTACGGGGAAATCGATTTCGGTTTCGTGTTCGTGCCGTGCGTGCGGGCGAGGCGAAGCTGCGTGGGCAGGGGAGAGGAAATTCTCCTGTGGCTGGGCCGCGGCTGGACCAACCAAAAGGTTCTCCGCCCGGCAACCGGTGGCGCGCGATGTCCCGCCGGTGTCCCGCTGGTGTCCCGCTGGTGTCCCGCCGGTGTCCCGTCGTGGCTGGGCCGCAGCCGGACCAAAACGTTCTCCGCCCGGCAACCGGTGGCGCGCGGTGTCCCGCCGGTGTCCCGCTGGTGTCCCGGTGTCCCACTGGTTCGAAAACGATAGTGAGACCGATGACGGAATCGATTGTGAAATCGATAGTCGATCGTGAGATCGATAGTGGGATCGATAGTGAGATGAATAATGATATCGACTGTGAGATCGAGTGATATCGATAGGGAGATCGTTAGTGGGATTGATCGCGAGATCCAGAGTGAGATCGACAGTGAAATCGATCGAGTGAGATCGATCGTGAGATCGATCGAGTGAGATCGATTCTGAAAGCGATAGTGGGGTCCATGACGTAAACAACTCGACACCAACGCTCCCAAGAGCGAGAGGCAACGCAACAACCACCACTGTTGCCAATTGCTGGCCCCCCTCCCCCCTCCGACCTCCTTATCACCAGCAGGGTGGTCGTATAGGTATCTTATCCATCTTCTCCTAGCTCAGTAGACCCCTTCACGAAGGCATTTGGGGTGAAATGATCCTTGACGTTGGCGTGCGACATAGCGGGGCGTTTTTTTTTTTTTTTTTTTTTTTTTTTTTTTTTTTTTTTTTTTTTTTTTTTTTTTTTTTTTTTTTTTTTTTTTTTTTTTTTTTTTTTTTTTTTTTTTTTTTTTATAATTTTTTTATTTTCTTTTTATTGTTGTTTTTGTTTTTGTTTCTCTCTTTTTTTCCACCTGCGAAGCACGAGCTGTGCTCCGCAAAGTAGCCAGAGCCAATCGCGCAGATGCGTGCGCGCAAGCAAGGCGACACAACGCAGGAAGGCACGAGGATGAAATCGACTCACCCCGCGGCGGGCGCCCGGGCAACCGCGCCTCCGCGCGCCGGCCTTCAGCGCGCCGCGTCCAGGAGCGCCGGCGCCGAAAAACTTGTGCTGCGCTCGCCTGCCGCGCAGTACCTGCTCCCACTTCAGCGTGGAAAACCTGGTCGCTCGACGGACCCTGAATTCGTTTGCCAGGCCCACGGGCCCCCCAGTGCTGATCGCTCAGTCGCTCGCGCGGCTCCGAGGCTCGCGACGACCTCGATGGTGCTATCCCATTTCTTGCCGGGGCAATGGATCCAAGCAGCGAGACTTTCCGGACTCATCCTTCCGCCTGTCCTCGTGCCGTCCGCTCCCCGAACAGCTCCGGTCCCCGCCGCTGGTGCTGCCGATTTCGTAATGTTTGCTCGAACTACTCGAACTCCAATCGCCGCCGCCAGCACTGCCAGTGTTGGTGGATCTGCTCCGCTATTTCTCTTATTATTTTTTATCGGTTCTCGCCCTTATCGCCTTCCCATCGGTCACGCCGCCAGCTCCAACCTCCTTTGCCTCCGTCCGCGTCCCCGCCCCTCGGGTACTTTCCGGCAGAGGCGTCATCAGTCCCACCGCTGTGGCGATCAATTTTCGCGCCATATTCCAGCGGGGGAGGCGGGGGCCTCGCAGACCTGCTGGCCGCCGACGTGGCGACGGCGTGCTCAGGCGGAGATGTAGTCTCCATCTCAGGATAGCTCTTCGCCATCGCGATGGCCACCGCGGCGAACCACATGCCGTGTTTGCGTAATGCTGGATCCATTCTTCCTCGCGCATCTACTGGTGGCGGGTCGGCATCGTCGCGTTTCCAGTCCCCACCGTGGGTGTCAAGGGCTTTTTGAATAGCGTTGTCAGCAGGATGGATCGATCCACCCTTGACCCCTTTTCAGAAGGGGAGAAGTCGTGCGGTCAATTGGGGGGGCCATCTCCGTGGCGCATTCGCCTGCCCACCCTGCTTTCATCGCGCACCTCCTGCACTTTGCATGGCGGAACGCCGGATCGATCTGTTCCCCATAGAACGCGTTGTCAGGGTTAGCGCGGACGCGCGGGCGACGTCCATGATGGCGCGATCGATTTACTCCTTGCCCGTCGGGGCCGCAGGTTTATGCCAATCCCTGCGATCGCCTCCCCCTCTTGCTCCGGGGGGCGTCGGACAAGCGCCAATGCGCCGCTGTTCTGGCCCGAAACTTGCGGGCGGACTGCGCGCCCGCTGGCCAAGGACTCGGTTCTCACCAGCTGCCGCCGTGCCCGCTCGGCCCAGCGCGTCTTCTCCTGCGACTGTCAGGCGCGGTATTGTTCCCTCCGCAATCAGTCGGACTCGCTTTCCATCGGACATTTCTCAATTTGGGTATCTCTTGTGTTCCCGCGTGAAGCTGCAACTGAAATCCGCGACCCGTTCCCCCGCCGACAATCGCTCGGGGCATCGGGCACGACTATCGATTCAAAGCTTCCGCCTCGGAAATTCTGGCAAGCCGCGTTTGCAGTCCCAAGGGCCCGACTTTGCCCGCCGGCCGTTTTCTATATGATCGGAGTCCTCGGCCGAACGACCCGCCGTGGGGCGCCTGCCCTCGCGGCGAACCTCATGGCGAACAAATATGTCCGCAACCCGTATCGACGATGAATTTCGCCGAGCCGAGTCTCGCCGCGCCTCTCGACCCAGGGGCCGCGTCTCTCAAATAAAAGTCGGTCGCGCCGCCGCAGGGCTCTGCGCGGGCCGCGGGAAAAGCCGGGGCAGCTTCCGCTACAACATGAACCCCATTATCGCGCCATCCACAGACGCTGCAGAGCCTTCGGGTCACGCGGCGCGCGCGATCCATGGCCTGATCGCGCCTGCGACAGACGTGATTTTCACGCCCGCGGGGGCCAGGGAGGCCCCAAAGGCTGCGCAAGACCGTTGAGGGCGGCCAGGGGCGGGGCGCGAAAGTGGCACTTGTCGCCGCGTGGACGAACCTTGCCCTCCATGTGGTGCCATTGTGTCTTCTGGCCCTTTTCTGTCAACGATGGTCCTCGCCCCTGCCTTTCGCGGGTTCGCCCTCGGCTGGGGCGACGTTGAGAGTGGCGTTTTCCGTCGCCGCCTCCTCGCCGATCTCGGGGCGTTATCCTGTGGGCTCTTCCCGGATACCGACGGCATCTCTTCCCCTGTGTCTCGCTTCTCAGCGCCCGTCAGCTCGCGGTGCTCTCCTTTGCGCCGCATGTCGATCTGTCGCGCGCTCCCCGGCTGAAGGCCCAACATGGCGCGGGTTCCCTCTCCCCCCTCTGTCGACCCTTTGGTTCCAATCGTCACTGGGGGCCCCGGAATTCAAGGGTGCCCGGGGCGCGCTCAATGGCGGGCCCCCGCCGGTCGGGCTGGGCGCGGAGGCTCGAGGGCCCTCGGGGCCCCTGCTGCCCCTGGGCAGCTTGACGCCCGCTCCCTTTGGGTTGGGCCCCCCGTTGGCCTCGGATGACTGGCCGTGGTTGAACGGGCAGCCCTTCGCGGCCTCGCCGTTTCCAGCGGCGAGTTCTCGGCGTGGGAATTATTACCCGGGGGCGCCGTCCTTCGCGTGCGGACTGACAGAGCCATATTTAGGCAATGCCAGATCGGCGGCCATAAGCGCCCCGCGAATGTCGGAATGCGCAGCGCGGTGATTTTCGCATCCATTCTTCTCTATCTGCTGGCTGATCCACTCGCACATGGACGTTGTTGTTTCGTCGTCGAAGCAAATCTCCGTGGGCGCTTTCGCCCAGTCCATCGACGGGCGCGACTAGCGCTGTTCGAAATAGCGGGTCCGAAGAGCGGTCCTCTATCATCACTGGGATCTGGCGTCTGGCTCCGCATCTCCCCGTCGGTCTTTTGCCCCGTTCCCGCTATCTCGCGCATCGAGAGATCGTCGCGCGAACAGACAGACTTGTGGTCATATCTCGCAGATGCGCATCGGGTGATAACTCTCGCGATTTCCCTTTCACGAAAGCATCGTTTTCTGCGTCCAGGGACAGATTTCGTCTTGTCTGTTGATCTCAGCCGTGGGCTTTTGTCTTGCTCATCGACCTCTGATTCTTCCAGAGCTCATCTCCTGGCTGGCAGGCCAAGCGCGATTCCAAAGCGGAGATCTACCGGGGCCATTCAGAGATATCATGGGAACGCTGATGTCTAGCGCTATCTGAAATCACTGTAGCGCGTCATCGTTCTCCCACGTCGCAGCGGCCGAGCGTCGGCATGCCTCTCTGGGCCGTCCAAGTGAAATGGCAGCGCTGGGGATGTCTGGAAGGTTGTCTTTCGCTCCGTCGCTTTTGCCCGAGGACCTCGGCTCTTCCCCGCCCGGAGGAGCCACCGCAGTGCGGGGCAAGATTGGCGCCGTCTGGCCCCGATGTTGACATTGCCTTTGCAGCGCGATTCCTCGCGGAATTCGCGGCCTGCATGTCGGACCTGCGCGCGCAAGGGGCATTGAATGGCACTGCCGTCAGCTGGCGCCGTGGCCCCTTCCGCCCCCCCGGGGTGGCGGCCGCCGTGCCGGCGCGCTAGATCGCCGAAGTGGCGGGCGCCTGGCGAGCGCAACTCGCGCTTTGCGAGAGAGACGATTGATTCCGCCAAGCGGCGATATTTTAAATTTCGCCTCTCTCTCTCTCTCTCTCTCTCTCTCTCTCTCTCTCTCTCTCTCTCTCTCTCTCTCTCTCTCTCTCTCTCTCTCTCTCTCTCTCTCTCTCTCTGTTCATGCAGCTCCGCCGCTGCTCGAATCTCGCGGGTCTCGATCGTGGCGACCTCTTCAGCTCTTGCTTCGGCCATCTCAACGAGTCGGGTAGCCTGCCTGGCCTCGTGCATGCCATGTGCAGAGGCGTCGCGATCAAACAAGCGCTGCCGCTGATCGGTCATGCGTCTATACTAATGATCCGTGTCTGCCGCGGCCTGGGCCTTTGCGGCCCCTGCATGGGCCCTTCGCTCAATAATTTCGTGACTGGCCCTCATCTGGGTTGATTCAGCGTTTCGGCCTGAGACGTGCCCAGTTGCCGCGTCTGAAGCTCATGGCCCTCATGCGTCCTCATGAGTATGGCCGAGGCCCGCTCTGGGGGCTGCCCGCCACTCCGCGTTCTGCAATGCGATGCAGCTATGGTTGGTTGGGGCACGGCGCTCTTCGCGCATAATCCACGTTGCAACCCTTGCAAGTAAGAGACATGCCCAGCGGGCGGGCCACGCAAGTGTCCGATCTGCGCGGGTATCGAGACCCCGCCGAGCTTCCGCGCCTGAACGTAGGCTGCCAGTGCCCGGCTTTCATCGAAATCATGCTGGCATTCGACATGCTCGACCTGACGGACCCGCTGGGCCTGGGCGTTGCGCGGCGCATATTACGTCGGTGGCTACTGGTCAGAGCCGACGAGATCTTGTCCGAGCTCAGTCGAGAAGAATTCGACGAATCCCTCTCTTGCCTCATTTATTTGACTCGGTGGTTGGAATGTTCTTCTCCAGCCCGCCGTCATGTCCCGGCTGAACAGATCTCCTCCGGCGGGTGCGTTTCCTCAGCGGCTGCCTAATGTCATTCCATCTCTGGCGACTGCGGCGGCACCGGGCGATGCCTCTCGGCAAAATTCAGAGGCATTTCAGGGCCGTGATCGGGGGGCGCGCTCGGAGCATTCCGAGAATCCAAGTCACCGTTCGCAAGTAGATCGTCACGACGTGGGCCAAATACCTGCCGTCTTATCTACGCATCATCATATATTCTCGTGCTGGGCGGGTGTCCGAATTCATCGCGCATGGTGATTTCCGATGTCATCGCGGTCCCCTTGGTTCTTTTTCGTCTTGGTTTTCCCCTGTGGCGTACGAATTAAAATCGCAAGTCCCAGCCGAACCGTCCTCTGAGAAATCGGTCCCACGTGCGGTGACGTACGCCGCCAGCGTTGTCCATTCATTTCTTGGAGGACTAATCGCGTGATCAAGTTCTTGTTTTGGGAACGGCTTCGTCTCGGCCCTATTCCTACTTGCCGCTCCTGGCGCTAAGAGGGAAATATATGAGGCCCGTGACATGTGATCGCGGTGCCGCGAGGACCCTCGCTCGCTTTCTAAATCAATATCTGAATTGCTGCGTTCTGTTTCGGGAGTCGAATATTGTGGTGTTTACCGAGCTTCACCTCCCAGACAACCGCACTCGCGAGGTCAGTTATACTCTTATCTGGCATCGCACTCCCACTGCTATCTGCGTTGCGGCTGCGGTGGAAGCTGTCATCTCGATCAACGAACGCAGGGGACATCACCCTGTTTTTCTTGCGGCGGATATTTTTTTGGTCAACCGACCAATACAACGTGCAACATACTTTGACGCATGTGGTGTATTTTCCCCTTCTTTTCCTAGCTCGGTAAACCCCATGCACGAAGGTCTCTGGAATTCTATTATTTTTGACGGTTGACGGACGACATGGCGGCGCGCGCGCCGCTTGTTTGTAACGCCTACGAAGCACTGGCTGCGCTCCGCAAAGGAACTTGAGTCAAACGCGCGCGCAGGCAGGGCGAAACAACGTAGGAAGGAACGACAATAGTCAAATCTTGCTGTCTGCACGAATTTCGATCGTGCCGAACGATGCACCAACTGTTCGGGGACCTACTTACCCGGGTCCGTCCAAACGCGTGTGTCAGTCAGGCCTTGCAGGATCCTGCAATATCCTGCAAGATCCTGCGCCCAAGCCTGGATCAATGCAGCGCTGGCTCTGCAGGATCCTGCAAGACCTGGCGCTCAGACTGACCCCCGTTTGCACTGACCCCCCGTCTCCTGCGCTCCGAGCTGTGGGCAGGAGGCGGCCCCCAGCAAGAGGTGGAAGCGCCGCTGCGGCGTGCGGCCAGCACGCAGCAGGAGACGGCCGCCAGGCTCCAGATTGGCAGCGCCAGTGGAGCGACGAAACTGGCCATCGCTCGGACGTCCATTCCCTGTGTTTTTTTCGGTTTCGTGCGTGTTTTTTTCGCCAAGTGATCAGGGATGCTCCTCGATGGTCCTCGCCGAAGAAAAACAACACACGTCCGAGCGATGCCAAGGAAAAGAAGCGGGCTTGCGCGAGATTGCATGGCGACCTCACGCGGCGGCTCACGCGGGCCGCCCGTGCGGCACACCACAGTGGAGACGCGGGTTCTTACGCGCGACCCTACGCGGACACTAATACGCGCTGATGCCGGCGCAGACGGCCCAGTTTTTTTTTTTGTTTCCGTCGCCCAGGTGAAAGTCCCCACTTGTTTCATAGATGGTCTCCAAGATGAAGGGGCCCAGGGACACACAAATTAATACACACAAATAAAAACATTCCCCATATGTTCCTATATTTTTTGGGTTTTTGTCTTCCCCTCCACTTCCCATATTTTCCAATATTTTCGGGGGAATCGACGATTAATTGTGTCTGTGTTTTTTCCCTCCTGACAAGATGGCTCCACGAGGGAACGAAAATCCCCCAAGATGGCCCCAAGAACAAAGAGCGTTTTTCAAAGGCCCCCAGGAAGGGCCCCAGGAGAGGAGGCATCCACCGCCATCACCGGCGTCTCTGTTTCAAGAGGGCTTCGAAGGCTCCCAGAAAAGGGCCCCAAGAGAGAAGGCATTCACCACCATTGCTGGCCTCTCTCTTTCACACAGTGCTTCCGAGCTCTCCTTTTCCCGACAGCTCAGGACCAGTCAGCATCGAATCGGGACATCGGATCGACCTGGAATGTGCGCCGGATCGGGCTGCATCGGCACGGAGCCGAGATCGAGTCGCATCGGCCGCGACAGATGCACAACAGCGCCATTGGGCCATGCAGCCATCGGCCGCATCGTCCTCGTCCTGCAGCTGCTGCTGCTGCTGCTGCTGCTGCTGCTACTGCTCCTCCTCCTCCTCTTCCTCCGCCTCCTCCTCCTCCTCCTCCTCCTCCCTTTCCCTGTGCCTACCCTCTCCCGCCAGCGCGGAAACAAACGGGTCCCGAGGGAGACGGCTCCTGGACCCTGGGGCCTTGTCATCCAGAGCCGTCTTTTGTGACGGCCCCGAGGTCCAGGAAAGGCCCCCGGGAGCCCCGGAACGGCGAAAAACCTCTGGGCCCTCCGCAGTCGTGCTCGTCCCCCTCCTCCGCCCTCCTGCAACACTACGCGCAGACGGGGTGGCCACGACAGCCTTCCCCCCCCCGGACCTCTCCAAGGGTGCCTTCTGGCCGGCACTCCAGGCCGCGGCGACGAAGGAAGCCTCCCGGAGGCAGAGACGGCCGAGAAGCGCCCTCAAAATGCACCCAGAACTTGCTCACAACACGGACCCCCGGAGGTCGGGACCTCTCCCTCGGAACCAGCTTCTTTCCCACCGTCGTTTTTGACATATGGACGCCCGAAATGGGTACGGAAAGAATGGGTACAATGCCCAACAACAAATGTTGTCCCAAACAAACAGCGGCCGCTGTTGGGCAAGCCGCCTTCTGTCTCAAATGGACACTGGCCGCGGCGGCGAGGACAGCGAGTCCTGTTCAAAATGATCAAGAACTGCTGTTGGGCATCGTACCCACTTTTTCCGTACCCATTCCGTTCGTGCCGATGACAGCCCTGGGGCAGAGCGTCGTCGTCGTCGTCGCGCTCGTTCTCGCAGCGGGCGCTGGGGGCCACGAGGCTCCGACGGGCGGGTTTCCCGGGCCTCGTCCTGCTCGTAATTGATGGTGGCCTGCAACAGCATCACCCGCTCCTGGCTCTCCTCCCGGCCGCAGTCTTGCAGGATCGAAGATGGACAAAACTGAAGGGAAACTGGGACACACAAATAAATAGACACACATAACCACTATATTTTCCCATATTTTCTGGGTTTCTGTCTTCCCCCCCAATTCCCATATTTTCCAATAGTTTTCTGGGGGATCGACGATTAATTGTGTCTGTGTGTTTTTTCTTCCTCCTGAAAAACACCCTTCCGCAAACCTCTGTTTCGTGAAAGCTGCCAAGGGCGACTCCACGTCCGCACGGCTCCGCATTCCGAGTGGACCGCAGAGGGGCAGCTGACCGACGCCCCACGACAAGAGAATGTATCCGGCGAAACTCGACTGCACGTGAGAGTGACCCTTCGCAGGAGTGGCCTTCGGTGCTGGCCCCACGAGGGTCGGGTAATTTTCCTCTGGGGTTGAGCTCGACCTCGCGTCGGCGCCCGCATCGTGGGGTTGCGCTCGCATCTGTGCGCGCGAAAGTTGGGCCCCCCCCATCGCAGTCGACCGCAACGCATACGCGGCGTATTTTACAGCGCGGGTTGGTTTTCCGAGGGTGGGTGGCGGTCGACGGGGTGCCGCATTGCCGCCCCAGGAACAGTCCCGAATCCCAGCCCAAATCCCAGATCGTCTCGTTTGAAAAACTCTGAATCAGTTTGACTATCTTTCAATACCTTTCCCGAAAAAGATCCAGAAATATTCAAACATACTCTGGGCCACCGGGGCCAGTTTTGGCCATTGCGCCAGACCTGGTCAGACGTCATCGCGACGCGGCCCAGCAGTGCCAGACCTTCTCGTCGTGGCCCCGTTTGCTTTCGCAGCGCCTTCGGGGTGCCATTCCGGGCGTTCGAATCAAATCGGCGGAATTCCACGGTTGCCCGCTGCCACTCAGCATCTTTCGAGGCGCGTCCCGCCGATCGTTGATGCGGTGCGACATCAGCGGCTTGCGCGGTTGCGTTGGGCCCCCATGGGCGCCCCTGAAGCCGCGCACCACAAGACACTCTAGCCTATGGCCTAAGGTCACTCTTACGTGTAGTCGAGAAACGCGCGTCG